ACACACACACACACACACACACACACACACACACACACACACACACATATACCATACTCCCACAAACATACACACAGAAAAATCAATGAAGACACATTCATATGTGCCCACAAATGATAACCTGTGAGCCAGAATTCCCTCTTTAAAGTTGACAAGTTACTGTGGTAGAATGTATGACTTATTGCCAAAGATTTTGTCCTTGGTAAAGCTGAAATATTAGTTGCTTCAGTTCATGTTGTGTTCTAAACTTTGAACCCCATTGCAGCATCTGTAACTAGACCACAGATTAATTTTTCATGAAATCTTTCAAATTTTTATTAATTTTACTTTATACCAGTATATTCTTTTTCTGTTAGAAGTCTTATAATAAAAAAAACTAAGATGCTTTATATATATTCTAATTGTAGTTTTTCAAAATATTTTATAAATATTCATTACCTGATTTTTTGCTAGATTACAATGCTAAATAGACACATTAAGGTCTTGAGTCAGACAAAGTTGAATTTTAGTATTCTGTGTATTAGCATTTTGCTATAAACAGGGTTGCTTGTGCTTTAAGGTTTAAGTAATGACATTCTTTATGGGAAGGAGCTGAGTGTTGTTTAATGTTTTCAGGTGACTTGAACTCCTGGGATCTGCTTATTTGCCTGCCTTCTGGGGAAGCTGGTGGGAAACCCTGCCTGCCCAGGGAGCTCATGTGTCAGCTCAGTCTACACCAGAAGGTAAAGTCTGTCAAAGCGTAAACTCCTTTTATCAGCCTGACAGTTTTACAAACAGACCATTTGGGGTCCACATATTATTGTTTTTAATTCTTGAAAAATTGGAAGCTCTGTATCTTTGGGGAAAGGTTCAAGAAGAGTTAATTAGCTTTCTGGCACTATAACAAAATACCTGGGACCAACCACCATAGAAAGAGGAAAGCTCTACCTTTGACTCACAGTTTCCAAGTTTAAGGCTATGGTCACTTGGCCTGGCTGTCTCGGTGCATGTACTGAGGTAGTGTGAAGGGGAGTGTGGTAAAGGAAAGTACTCACCTTGTGGTATCCAGGAAGCAACGAGAGAGAGGAAGGAAATGGCCAGGGTCCCAATATCCCCTCAACAGCTTGTTCGCAATGGTCCAACTTCCTCTAGTGAAGCCACCCTTCCCAGAGATTTCACCAGGTTCCCATAACAAACAAGCAGGTGACTAACCTTTTCCCCTCCGAGCCTCTTCGAACACTGAAAATGCAGCATGCAATGCCATGACTTATTCTTCAACATGTACCTCAAAACAGATTTTTGGGTTTATTTGTCGTTTGTTTGTCTTAAAATAATTCCCAAAGCTTGAGCTGTTACAAATACTATTTTCTTTCTTTCTTTCTTTCTTTCTTTCTTTCTTTCTTTCTTTCTTTCTTTCTTTCTTTCTTTTTTTCTCTCTTTCTCTCTTTCTTTTTTTTAAACTTGGTAGGCGACAAACTTAACCTGGAATTATGTAGCTTATTTGATGCTCATCCTCAACTCGTTGACTCATAGGAGAAAAATATTTTCTGTGTCATTGTATGGACTTTTTCAAACTTCGCCCATTTCCCAGTCAGTGACCACATTGACCCGGCCTAGAGTCATCCCAGAGGAAAGGAAGCCTTGACTGAAGACTTGCATGGGTCAGATTGGCCTGTATGCATGTGTGCAAAGGACTATTTTGACTGTTAATTTATACAGGGGGCCCTAGTCTACTCCAGGCTGCAGGATCCCTAGACAGGAAGCCATGAGTTGCATGAGAAAGCTGGCGAAGCATGAGTCCACGAGCGAGGCAGAGCACGAAGAGCAAGAAGCAGCATTGCGCCATGGTTTCTGCTTCAAGCCCCACCCTGCTTGAATTCCCACCCTGACTTCCTTCAGTGACTTGTGGTGGAAGCATAAGCTAAGGAAAGGCTTTTCTCCCAAGGTTGTTTTGGGGTGGAGAGTTTTATCACAACAGAAAGGAAACTAGAACATCATATTAAATTGAAAGAAAAATGTAATATACTTTCTTAACCTAAAATTGAAAATTCGGTATTTACTGTCTACACTGCGTGAACTCTCGTAAGTGAAGATGAAATGAAAAACTTGTCCAATATGCTAGTCATCATACTAGATTAGTTACATTTGTCACTACTTATAACAAGCCTGTGAGGAAAGCACCAAAACCAAGTTATTTTTTCATCTCCTAGTTAAAGTTGTAATAACCTACTCTGATGACATAATGGCAAGGAAGGTCCAAACAATTTCATTTTTCTTGTAATTTTTTTTTTTTGTAAGTGTTTAATTTCTTGGCCTTTGGGCAGAGCACCTTCTTTTGGGTTGTTTGTTTGTTTTGTTTTGACAAAGCCAAGGCTTGGCCTTGAACTCACTATGTAGTCTAGGCTGGCCTTGAACTTGTAAAAATCTTCCTGTCACACCCCTCTCCCCTCATCCCAATGCTGAAACTTTTGAATATCTGTAATCATTTCCTCTTTCCATTTCTCCTCTTCCCTCTTACTCCTTGTCCTTCTACTCTTTCCTTACCACCTTCCCTCCCTGTCTGCTTCTCTTCCCCGCTTCCTCTCTCTTTCTTTTCTTTCACTGGCCTGGAAACTCTATCATTACTGTAATCACAGCGTTTTCTGTGATTACTGTGTTTTCTCCACATGTCTTCAGTATGCTTATAACACCGCTCCCCACAATTGAACCCCCATTTTTAGTGAAAGATTCTCAGATCTGCACCTAACCTTCAGAGCCCTCTCCCAGGCTCCAGGCTAACTGTGCACCTGGCTTAAGTGCCCTACTAAAGCCTCAGACTCCAGCTCTGCAGACCTCTGCCTGGCCAGTTATAAGCATGATCAACTACTCAGTCACTGCTTAGATAAAGATCAGGCCTTCATCCTCAAGGGCCCCTCCCCACTTCCTTTTCCTGTTTACACTGTGCTGCAGTGCTGAAGCACAGGACCCCCATATAGTCTATAACTCTGTCTCAGCCTTCTAGCCTACTTTAAAGGGTGGAATTGCAGAGAAACTAATTAAAAGAAAAAAAGCAGAAGATTGGACAGGGTGAAAGAAACACTAAGAACAACAACAAAGATGGCAGAGCCCCTAGGAATTAGATTTTACCTCTCCTGGTCACAAGAGAAGTATACAAAAGGAAGGGAGCAGCCCTGAATGACTGAGAGCAAGAGCCAAAACATCAGCTCTGCTGGGAAGGAGTTGTCAACTTAATGAGATATAGCTGTACCAGACCACAGGTCTGCAGAGAGCCTCAGATCCAAGCCTGCTCTCCTAACACCCTTCTGGCCCTCTCTGTTGTTCCCATTGGTCCAACATAACTGCTAATCAAGAGGCAAGAAGCTCTGTGATGCCATCCAAGAAAATCAGCCTGCTGCGATCAGCAGGAGGGGAGGTCTGGAGGACAGAAAGGGCTTACTTAGCACAGTTAGCTGTCAGAGGTTCTCTGGGTCCTGAGCATACCCAATCCATTCCTTCTCTTACCTCCATTTAGCTCCAGAGTAGTACTAAGTGATAATAAACTATCTTTTCCTAAACACCTATGCTGAGTTTTGTCATACACCTTTCCTGTGCCCCCTAACTCTTAGAATTCCTATGCTCACTCCTCTCTGCCTCACTGATTTTTCAACGAGGAGGGCCTTTGTCTCTCTGCCAATATCTAGAAAGATTCTTTGTTTGTTACAAACAGGAGAAAAATGTACTATTGGTACCTACTGGCCAAAGCCAAGGATGCTACTAAATACTGGGTAATGTCCACAACTAAGAATAACAAAGCCCAATAAACTGATAGTGTCAAAGCTGAGAGAAACCCCAAGGTTTCTGGGACCAAACTCTTTCATGATAAACTCCTGCTCCATGGCATACCACCTAAAGGATTTCTCACATTATTTAATCTCTGTAGCCTCCGGTGCCTTTTCCTAATATAGGAAGGCTTTAGACGCCAACTTTAAATTCTCAAGAAAGTTACAGGAGATTTTGTAATGAGGCAGGATCAAGAAGAGCAGAGATGCTGAGTTTGTGTGTTTGGGGTGAGGGTGGGGAGGGTGTGGGATTACAAACCACAGTTTCTATTATGCTGAGATTCCTGCTTCATATTTTTGAATTCTGAGAATAATTTTAGACATGCAAAAAAAATTATGGAACTAGTATAACATTTCCCTACATACCTTAACTAATTTTGTTCTATGCTTAGCAAAATATACAAACATGTTGTATTTATCCAAAACAGTAAATTAGCATCGACTCAGATTATTCACAGACTTGTAGGCAGTATTAGATTTTGCCTCTTTTTTAAACTTATGTCACTTCTCCATACCAGGATCCAATATAGTACCCTTGTTAGATGCAGTTTGAACTTGTTTCTGCAGTTTCTTTCCTGGGTGTTTTTCAGTCTTTTCTTCCCCTCATGGAACTGACATTTCTGAAGAAAGCTGGTTAAGTATTCTGTAGAATGCCCCTGGATTGGATTTATTTGATGTTTTCTCACAAAATTATGGAGTTGTTTTCATAAGAATGCCACGGTGGTTGTTTGCCTGAGAATGGTCCTCATGGGCTCATATATTGGAATACTTGGCTCCCAGTTAGTGGAATTGCTTAAGAAGGATGGGAGGTGTGGCCATTTGGGGAAGGTATGTCACTGGGGGCTGGCTTTGAGGTTTCAAAAGCCCATGCTCGGTCTAGCCTCACTTTCCCTGCCATCTGCACTGAGGACCTGTGTGTAAGCACTCAGCTGCCGCTCCAGCACCGTGCCTGCCTGCCTGATGCCGTGCTCTCTGCCACGATGTTCATAAGCTTATCCTCTGAAACTCTCAGCACCCAATAAACTCTTCCTTTCATAAGATCTTTGCTCATGGTCATCTTTTCGTCACAGCAACTCAGAGAGCCACAGAGAGATTCTATTGTTTGTGGCTGTAAGTATCAGGAGCTACACAGCACTCCTTGGGCTTCTTTCCCTTGTCACCTGGCATAGGCCCTGTCTGCTGCCTCTATGCACTGAGGAATTAATACATTTTCCCTTGCTCTGTAAACATTTGGGATGTGATACTTTGACACTGTGCAAATATTTTGCTTTTCTGCAAGCCCTGGGTCACCAATATTAACATCTAGTAGTGGGTCCCGCCAGTTACCAATATTATCCATTTTAATGGTCATTCTCTATCCCCCTAATCATTTTATAGTTTTTATGTGCAAATCTTCTATAAGGAAAATCTATTTCTATCACCGTGCCCTGTCCCAGTTCCTTTTATTTAAAAACTAAAGTCTCATGTGGGCGGGTTTTTTTTGTTTTGTTTTGTTTTTGTTTTTCTTTTGTTGTTTGTTTTGATCTGGAAGATTATTTTTAGAATAAATTTAGAGTAACACAATTTATCAGGAAAATGGCAACCACTCCCAAGATCCTTTCCTTGATGAATGTGTTGTCTTATTTTTGACTCTGTCAACTCATTCATTCATCTGTTTGCACATTTATTAACTCATCTATCCCTTTGTCATTTCTACAGCTACTTGTTGAACATCTGTACTGAGCCCTGTTTATATACTGAGTAAATATAAATGACCAAAACAGATGTAAATCCTTGCTCTTGGGGAAATCAGACTCTCAGTAGGAGACAGGGAAATGAAAGGCCTGAATAAAAGTACATATTAGAGTTCAAAGAAGAACCAGGGACAAAATTAATATAAAGAGGAAAAAAAAAAAGAGCTGTTGACCTTTAGATGTGTAAGGAAA